ATTTATACTTAACATATTTAGCTTTTTGCAGCAGATTTTGCCAAATTCAGATGAATGGGAAAAATCTTCACATCTTAATATCTTCAGCATATCTTCAGCTAAAACCAACATTTCAACTAATAACTATTCAGCAACTCTTCAGCTATTCATACTGTAAACAGCTTTTTGATATTTTTTTTATGGTTTTTGCATAATTACCTTTTACATTTTATGTCTCATTTCAATAGCCACACTAGTATTTCTTAGTGTGTAGGACTACTCTTTCGTTCTCATACACACACATACAGGAACACGTACACACACATAAACACACACACAAAACCATAACTTCTTTTACCTACTTTGCGGGAACCAATAGGAAAATGTTCACATCTTAATAAGTTCAGTATACTTTCAGCTAGAAAAGCCATTCTGGTATCAAAATGTTCAGCTCTTTAAGGACATTCATGCTTCTATTCACAATTTTTCTAAACTTTATACTCTTGAAATATTTAGCTTTATTTTGAAAGTTTTCCCTGATTCAAATTAATGGGATAGTTCTACTTCAGCATACTTTCAGCTATCAAAATGTTCAGCTCTTTAAGGACATTCATGCTTCTATTCACAATTTTTCTAAACTTTATACTCTTGAAATATTTAGCTTTATTTTGAAAAACATGGCCCATTCAAATGAATGGGGGAAATCCTATTTCAGCACAATTTCAGGTATCAAAATGTTCAACTCTTCAAGGACATTCATGTTTCTCTTCAGGATTTTTCTAAACCTTATACCTTTGAATTATATAGCTTTATTTTGAAAGTTTTCCCTGATTCAAATTAATGGGATAGTTCTACTTCAGCATACCTTCACCTATTTCGGGTATCAAAATGTTCAAGGACATTCATGCTTCTATTAACAATTTTTCAAAACATCACACTTTTAAAATATTTAGCTTTATTCTGAAAAGTTTGCCCCTTTCAAATGAATGGGTAAATTCTACTTCAGCATACTTTCAGCTATTTCAGGTAGCAAAATGTTCAAGTCTCCCAGGACATTCATGCGTCGACTCAGAATTTTTATACACTTCACACTTCTGAAATTTTTAGGTTTATTTTGAAAATTTCCCCCCATTCAAATTAATGGGAAAATTGTACTTCAGCATACTTTCAGGTAGATATGCCTTTCAGGTGTCAAAATCTTCAGCATTTTCAGGGCGATCCTTCAGCACATAGCATCCACACGCATTTTCGACAGGAAATGCATTTCTCTAGTTATGTTCTGCCCTGTAGAAGGCGACAGATCCAAATCCCTTCCTATCTTTCATTGAGGAACATTGTTCTTTAACATTTCAATAATTTTCTCTAACATATGTTGGCAAACTGGCGGTCCTCGGCCCATCTTTGCTCCTAAAAGGCTCAGCATTTCCTGGATGCCACTTTTGTACCAAATAATGATTGCAGTCACCTGTTGACATCACCTGCTTCAAATTGGATCATCATTTTATTGTTTCACCTCATTACTGGCCCTGAAATGCAACTGTCCCCACTTTGTTTGAAATGTGTTGCAGGCATCAGAATTGAAATAAGTGTTTATTTCGAACAAATAATAAAAATGAGGTATCACATCAAATAATGTGCTGCTGTATTGTTTTCAGTGTAATACAGGACACAGATGATTTACCTATCACTATTTCCAGTTTTAATTTTAATACTGTCCCAACTTTTTCTGATTTGGGGTTCTAGTTTTAATGCATTATCTTATACAACATCCCAACTTTTTTTGGAAATGGCATTGTATTTGTGAACACACCACTGACATATAGTAGCATCACATTTTAAGCAGTTTAAGTTTTCATGACAGATTACATGGCAAGTAAAATGATCCTTCTACTGAAAGTGAGGGTGGTAAAGTACTGCTCACGATATCATCATCCACTCTTAAAACATACTATATACACGTTTACCAGCATGATAAGTGAAAATGACATTAGAGATCTCACCATTGCAAGAACATTGAGAAACTCCCGTGTGTCAAAGTGGAGAAGTGTACGAATAAACGGGAAAATCTCTTCCTCCTCTGAAGACTCGGCTGAATGAAGATGGATTAGGAACTCAAATACCTGACACAGACACATACACACACAGTCAAGTCTTCCTATAATTGTGATGATATTCACTGACATAATGTATTCCCTAGCACTTTACCCTGCCCTAACCTTAACCATCACAACTAAACACCTAACACAAAACCTTACCCTAACCTAAACTTAATTCTAACCCTAAAGCTAAGTCTTAACCCTCAAAAAGCCATTTGAAGTTGTGAGGACCAACTAAAATGTACTCACAATGATGCTTTCAAACAATAATTTTTAATACAATGTAATAAAGGTACTGCAAAAAAAGATGAGTACATATCCACATTGTCTGATCTTCATTGGATATTCAGCAGCTACATACCTGGTTCTTGACTTGAACCACAAGGTCTTCAGGAATGTCTCCTATTGGATATGCCCTTCCTGCAAGACAGCAGCTATATACACATGCATACATACACACACAGATTAATGTTTTTATACTGTGTGAAGTGTTTAGGATACAGTATACTGTATATTCTACAGGCACATGTGAATTTCTTTGATAAGAATCACGAGCCCATGAAAGTTAAAGTACAAAAACTCAACAGAAACTGTATATATTCATACACACAGCCACACCACCGGATCTTTTATGCTCCCACAGAACTCATTTCAGGGCTGAATAGTTATAATCAGATTTCTGGATAAGAGACACTACTTGGTGGTTAATGGCTACATGCTGGTAAAACAGCTGGAGCTGCTGATGGTAGTGAGAGGAAAATTTAACCTCAACTTAGATGTTGTGCTCAGCAAATTTTAGTAACATTCTGCAGATACACCAAAATCGGTTGTTAAATTTCAATATTTTGTTCATGTTGGGGCTGAAAATTCTGTACATAATAACCAAAGCTTCCAACCATTTGAATTGTCATAAATATTAGACAGACATGAAAGGACAGTATGTAGTGCTTAGTTTAACAGGAAAGAATTCAAGCAACATTCATTGCTAAATGCTGTTCTGTCTGTTCTTATATCTGGAGGGAGACATGATTAGACGGAGCAGTTTCTGGCTGGATATAGCAACTGCATAAATGTGCTGCCATTTGCAATGTGTCTTTTGCACAGTTTTATAGCCTTAGAGTAATTCATAAATAATTTTTTTGAAACATCTGACATTAATTTTGTGCCACACAACACATTTTTGTAATCAATATTATGCATTTTTCTTAGTACCTGTGGAGCCAAGTATACTTAGTGACACCGCTTATAATTGCTTTAAATGAATAAAATGAAGCAGCAACTATAACCCAGTAAATCTTTGGCCTTAATGCATGCAAGCGTAATGGTTCAAGTAAGTGAGGAATAAACTGATATGTTTGAACTTACCTAATGTACACCAGAAGTTTGTTTCCCATCACCACGTCCTCATCTGCCCAAGAAGAAAGAAGCAGAGTTAAACACTTAAATCTGCTTTTCAATGTTTCTGTACTACTGAGATGCTTAAAATAGTCGGTAGTGTTGGACTGTGGTTTCCAGCCTTACCTGTTAGGCTCCTCCCCTCCCTGAGTGGTGGACCAATCACTGCAAAAAGTTTCTGAAATATAAGCACAAAATGGACAGTGTAAAGGGGTATTTAATCGATTCCTATTTAAAAGATGTACAGTATTAGTTAAATGACAAGGTTGGTCATTTTCTCTATAATACTATTTTCAACAATTCCCACACAGAAACTAAAACCAACAGTGAATTGCCTCTATTCACAGTTCATGTCTGTCAGTCTCCAACCTGGATTAGTTTATTCATCTGTGGCACAGACCTCCATTATTGTTCAAAAATGATTAAAAACACATCAGTGAAACACACCATTGCACTGGGTGACTTGTTTCCTCATTAGAAAACACTAGACCTGTGCATTTGTTAAAAATGTTGCCCCAAAAGCTCCAAATGGGCATAAGTTTTTACAGAATTTGAAGTAAGCAAGAGCCAACTGTGCATGCAACAATGGAAGTCTATGGTACAGATAAATAAGATAGTCCAGGTTGGAGCCTGAGACCTTAACTATGAGTAGAGGCAAGTCATTGTTAGTTTTAGTCTCTGTATGGGAATTGTTGAAAATACTATTATAGAAAATTACTGACCTCATCCTTTCAAGCCGTCCCTGGTAGGCTAGTGGTTAAGGCAGCGCTGGCACCCCGGGTTCGATTCCAGGTTGCGTCAGGAAGGCCATCCGGCGTAAAACACATGCCAAATGTCAACATGCGAGTCGTCAGTGTGGCGATTCGCTGTCACTTTCGGCTTTTGGCACATGTTTCACGCCAGATGCCCTTCTTGACGCAACCCTGATTTGAACCCGGGGCGCAGCGCTCTCGCTGCTGCGCCTTAACCACTAGCCTAATAAATTTAGCCACTAGCCATTAATTTAGAAATTAGCAAATAAATCTTTAAATGCTATCATCTGTGATGTGATGAAAGTGATGCGACAGCTTAGGTGTAGGACATACCTCCATAGGTGTAATGTAATCATTCATGCCTCTGTTAAAAACATAGATCATTGCATCATAGAGTTGGTTCTCCCAACACACTCGAACCACCTTCAAACACACACACACACACAGGGAGGACCATTAGTGAAAGAAAACAAGTGAAAATGTAAAGATTACTCACTGTTTTCTATCAATTCCTCACTAATTTTAGCTGACTGCTGCTGACCACTGTGGATGACATTATTTAAATGCCACACAGTCCTTACTGCACAGACATACCTGCTGTATGTCCAGGTTCGTGACATCCAGATGGATTATGCATCTCTCCAGGCTGTCCATCATACCATTGCCATGGTAATGAGCTAGGAGATCCCTCATGATGGGTGTGGTAAGGTGGCCAAGGCGGTCTGCAACAATGTACGACTCCAAGGACTCCAGGAAGACATCTTTGGCAACCTTGTTCTCCATGAGCCGAGTATACAGCTGGTTGAACAACTGGTCACTGCACATGCACACACACACACAGTGGTTTTCCTTTTCATTGTCAAAATCACATAACTATTGCTACTGAAACCTATGGTTGCTGTACTTTGTTTCACTCAACAAATGAATCACAGTGAAGTCCACTTGTAAATGCACTGAGACCTAGTAAGGCTGATGTTCAACTGAGGCCTACTCCTTATTCATATAAGGCCAAGAGGTAGCCTTTACTTATAATCCACTGTTTCAGATAAATCAACTTTATCCAGTTCTGCATGATTTGATGTCACTGTTTAATTGCATCATGCAGATCTATGTGTAGCACTGACAATGCAGAATAACATCACCAAAACAGTCTAAATAAATAAATAGTTGTCATTCTTGTTTACTCCTCTTAGTTCAGTTGTACTAAGTCAGTGTGACCATGAAATGGACCAGAACCAGAGCATGAGCACAGAGAGGAGTGCAAGCGAGCAGGGAGCAGGAGCAAGGGGATTTTGGACAGAGTGCAGAGCAACTTTTGAAAAAAGGAGGGAAGATTGCCTATGACCGACTCCAGTTTTGCTCTGGTATCACCCAACTGAATGGTTTTACAGGTGTATTGTATATTTTTATTTAATTAGGCCCACTGATTTGTTGAATTTTACATAGCACTTTTTGTGTTATATTCCTTGTTACACAGGGCTAACTGTTATTTGAAATAAATCATTTCTATTTGAAAAAAGTAGCTGTTCTTTAGTTCTTTGGTTTAAACCAAACCAAAGAAGCCACGGTTTAAACTAAAAGTGAGTGAGAGGATGTGATTTGAGTGGAGCTGGATGTAATCTGCATAGTGGTGCAGTGGTGCAGCACTGTTGCCTCACAGCAAGAAGGTTCCAGGTTTGAGCCCGGGCTGACCAGAGGCCTTTCTGTTTGCATGTTTCCCCTGTGCTTGTGTGGGCTCTCTCCGGGTACTCCGGCTTCCTCCCATCTTAGGTTGATTGGTGACTAAATTGCTCGTGGGTATGGGTGTGTGTGGTTGTCTGTCTCTGTCAGCTTTGTGATAGACTGGTGACCTGTCCAGAGTGGACCCTACGTCTCGCCCAATGTCAGCTGGGATTGGTTCAAGCCCTCTCGTGACACTTGTTAAGATAAGCGGTATTGATAATGGATGGATGGGTGGATGAAATCTGACTTGAGTGCTGGTGTGGCTTTGAACAGGGGAAGGGTGAACAGCTCCGTGAGCAAGGAGCGAAAATTCTCACTGCTCCACTCCACTCACATGGTCTGACCAGAACTAAAAGTGAATTTAAGTGGTTTTGTTCTGTTGTCTTGGTTCAAACCAAACAAAACATATCGTAATGCTGGTGCATCCATCCAAGTGTAGCCAAGCATTGTTCAAACCCTTGGAACTTTGGGTCCGATTCACCATCTTCCTAAGTGTTTTCTTAAATTTCTTCATAGGTTGTTCTTAAAAAAGGTCCTTAGAAAACTCTGCCTTTGATTCATGAATGTGTTCCTAAGCTACAGAATTGTCCATCATACCACTGCCATTTATATTTGGCTCCTTGCTACCTTTCAGAGGTCCTTAAACCCTATTTCCCTAGCAGAGCTCTTAGATCCATTGACTGCTCACTTTTGGTTGTCCCTGTCTTGAGGAAAAAATGTAGAGGCGATGTGTGTGGACATTTACTGCATATTCACATACATACACACACAATACAACAGCTCTTCTATAAAATCTCTCTATAAAGGTTTCAGTCTTTGATAAAATTGCATTCAACAATACAATTAAATTCCATTCAATTATGTGTTTATTTCTATAACAGCCATCTCTGTATCCTTACGCTCTCTGTAGCAGCAGGCAGTAATCCACCAAGATAGGAATCACATCCTAGACACACCACATCCCCCCCCACACACACACACAAAGAGAGAGAAAGAGGGAAAAAGAAAGAGAAAAAAAGAGAATAATTTGTGATGTTCTTCAGTTGTTCATGTCAATTTGAGACAAAGACATAAGAGACATAAAACAAAGCATCTTAACTCTGCATTCACCCACTATAATACAAACATGTTTTGATGTACCCCCACAGCCTCATCTGTCGGATAAACTCAAGAACCACTCCTTCAGTGTTTATATTAGAAAACATATGATCTAAAATACAATGCATTATTACCAATACAGAGAGTATGCCAAAAATTGTGTCTCCATTCCTATGGTAGCTCAGTATTCATAATAATTTGTCCATCACTGGACTCTTGAGTAGGTATCATCATAAATCTTCTGAGCCCTCTGATAGTTACAACCCATATTTTTTTAACCCTGCCTACTTTCACCAGTGCTAAGAGAAGATACTCAGCTTAACTTGGCTGTATATCTACAATATACTGTATCTGCTCAGCTTAAACTATGGTGGTTGGCTGAAACAGGAAGTGTCTCAGCCAAAGAATGAGACACCACAATCTTTATAAAAAAGAAAAAAAAAACAAGAAACAAAGAAGGAGGAGATTCTGCATTACAAAGAAATTTAAGGAAGCCAGTATAACAGCTACAGTATGTTGACAACACTGTGCTGATGCTATGGCAGACTGGACAATGAAAGGTGTGCTTTGGCTTGTTAGCTTACATGGAAATGTTGCTCCATCACTTGGATCTTGCCTTGCTCTGAAAACTTCTTCAAAGCATGCTCTGCAAACTGAAAAAGGATCTCTACCATCTGCAAGGACAGAAAGTGGTACAAGTTCAACAAGGAGATCAAAATAATCAGAGCACACTATACAGGGTAGATAGATAAGTATACAGAAGGTGTAGTATTCGGTTTTTACCTTGTCACCTACCACTACCTTCCTTTTCACTGGATCTCCAAATAGTCCTAAAATAAACACAAGTTGTACATTATTCTCACACTATCCATCTGTAAAACAGTTTTATTTTATTAACTTTCATTTCCATATGTCTGATTAATACTGACAATGTGTTTAATGTATTAAAAATTGTTAAATTAATGTAAAGAAGGAGCCAATCAAACTGAATGATCTGCAAAATGGTTCTTTTGAGTATAAGCAAATCATGGCATGAATGAATAATTACTGATTGTTCAGTGTTTTCAAATACTAACTACCATGTCTGTCAAGTAAATGGCTTTAAGAGTCCTTAAATCCAAGCAGAAAATATTGTTTCACTAACCTGTTTGAGTTCAAAAGTTTAAGACATCAGAAGATCAAAATTGGGTTGTTTTTTTTAGAGGCATTATTTTTAAAGAATTTTTTTGTCTCTTGTCTTTTGTGTACTTGAATTATCATATAATAAAGAGACATAAGGTTAAATTTTCTGATAACAATGAATGGTAAGGTAGCTGTCAGATGTCACTGGATGGTCTTTGAAGGCAGGCTGCACCACTGTGATTTTAATCTCTTTGGCAGTACTGGGCCTATGAGCAAACCTGGATTACCAAGTGATCCAATTAGTGACATTATTTATTACACACAGTCCACTTTTGCAAGACATAGGTTTGTTATTCATTTACAACCTGATTATTCAAAGTTGTACTGTTCATAAGACCAGACCATATCAGCTTTGAGATCGAAGCAAAAATCAGATGGCTTAGTGATCATTTTTGAAGGGTGTATAAAACTAATATAATCTGTATTACAGTACTGCTAATTAAACTATGCAGAATTTAACACTGCACCAAAGTGTTGCACTCTGGCTCTCCAGCCCTACCTAGCCCCACCCCACCTGTGGGGACTTCTTGTCAGAGCAGTCAGCTGAATGTGATAGTCCCCGGCACGCCTGCCCAAGTCTGCACACTTTCCCTTTCTATATTAAGCAAAAAGGAAAATACAAACAACCATTGATGGAAGACACTACATTATCTTCCACAGCACAAGGTGCTAGTTGAGGATACCTGATCTCATGCTTCCTAGCCTAAGAGCTTTCAGGAAAATTGCAAATGCATCTGCAACAGCGATAAGAGGTGGTCTGAGCGGGTGTTATCGTTATTGCTATTTTGGGTCAAAATGAACACCAAGTGAATACCCTGCTGCCTATTTGGCATACACACGGCCTCAACCACTCTCTCCTCCCACTTCAGTGTAAGCACATTCATTCATGGCAGAAAAATACCAAACACACCAATGCACAACAAAAAGCAGACACGCCAGAAGAAAATTGCTGCAATTGAGGTGACGCAGAAATTGTGCTGGCAGGAAAATAGGCCTATTGTGGTTTGATTCTCCCTGTGGCTATGTGTACTCTGTGTACTCTGTGTGTGTGTGTGTGTGTGTTTTAGTCTGCATGGGACATGCAGTTGGGAAATCCCTGTCACACCAAACACTGTGTTTGTATCCGGATGCTTGTTGTGGAATTAGTGGCAACCTCCTCAAAGACATGGACATGTTCTGAGCAACAGCAACCAGAGGTTAAGAGACAAAACTAGGGGACAAAATACTGTTCTAAGATCTTGATTTCAGTGAAGCTTGAGTGGTGTATTGTCATAAGCAAATAATTTTACTACATTTCTTCATCAAAGAATCATGAAGTCGTCAAACAAATTGGCATTAGCAAACAGAAGGAAACACCTACTATATGACTGTGATGAACAGACTGATTTACAGGTTGCTGGATGTGTAAAATGCATTATACCTACCAACAACAGCCTTAGCGGTTCCCTCGTGGAAGGACCATGCCAGAGAGAGAGCCTCAACAAAATGCTCCTGCTTCAGGAGGTATTCTATACGCTAGACAGAGACAAGGATGAACATGGATTGGGTGCAAAGCTAGCATTAGTCGGTCTACTGATGTCAACTAATTAGTATCCAGTAACCACGAAGCACAAGAATAAATGTTTTCTATTCAAATCTTCTATTCATAAATTTTGACCAAATAATCTATATATTCCCAGTGTATCATCATTACTGCTTAAATCTAGTTTACAGATATACAGTATGTGTTTATTTATCACAAGTGTTATATAATGAAAAAGAATACAACATACAGTGGTGGCAGTATATTTACAGGATATCGTATTTATTGTACTTCTTACTGAACTATTTCGCACACTGCCTCTGCTGCACAGTCCTTACTGCTTTGTGGTTTACTGTACATCCAATGTGTTGCTACTGAATAAAAAGTTAATTCTCAAAACACATAAAAAATGCTTAGGGTTCGATTGTTTTTCCGGAACATGATTGTTTTTTAGATACAAAAAAGAACCAAACTGTCACCGGACTATCAATCTGCTGATTCTGGTGTCAAGGAAGATCTCAGATTACCTATAGCATGTGGCTCTGTAGCAACAGATTTTTATGGAAACTGTGATGATGTGATTAATAAATGGTTCCTGAAACAAATGTGCAGCCATTTTCTGACAGCCATCCTGTGAGAGTTTTCTGCAAAACTAAATCATTCACTTCTTGTAAAGCATTCTTCGCTATAAGTGATGTGTGCAACTGTAGTAGCAGACTCATGTCTTTAATGATATTTACAAAAATTAAAACATTATACATACCTCTCTCCAGTTCCTTAGAGTCATAATGTGAGCTGACTGCAAGACAAGAAAATGCCATACTACTAAAAACACGACTTTCACATGCAATCTTAGCAAGTGGTCTTCTCTGGAGAATGGGTATTTATTAGGGGTGCTCCAATCAGGACTTTTGGGGCCGATCACCGATCTCCGATCACTAGAAGCTGTATCGTCCGATACGGATCACCGATTACAGGGTCTACTTGAAGCCTTATCATGTATCATTATTTATTAAACTATATTTATCAACAATGTAAATTAAGTATTGAAATTACAAGAAGAGGAATATCATGAATTGACAACTGCATTTATTGGCAAGAAACATGTGTAACACTTCAACTTAAAACATAGCAGCCTGTGCTTGCCTTGGTTAGCACCTGGGAACAGCTTGGAGCTTGACAAATACAACTTTCCT